TTTTGCCTTCATTGCCAAAAATAGCTGCTTAGAGGACTCTGAGAAATGGAAGGCCCTGGACCATATCTCTTTTCACTATTGACAAGGATTACTTTAAAACTATACATTAACAATATTGGTCAGAGGCCCCCACCTTGTCTTGCTTTCATTCCATTTGTTCCTAGCAATTGAGGTCTGCGTGCCTCTCCAAATAGTTGTGACCTTAAAGCTAAGATCCTCTGATTACAGTTTGCCCAAATACAGTAGCTATACCAAAGAGCATAGATGATGACACCAATTATCTCAATTCTTTCCAGCAGCAGCACACACATTAACAGAAGGATGATAAGGAATCGGAGCTATTTTTCTGATATAGGCATATTACCAGTTCTGAAGGCACTCAAAATTAATGAATAATATTTGAACAAACATAACCTGAGCTTCTAAACCCAAAGACAGCTCATCTCGCACTCAAATCTAAGAGGATATTCAAGCTAGGGAAAATCTTGAATGTCTATTTTGCTCTGAAATTTCACTAAAGTCCTTATAAAGGAACCATCATGAGATGACTTAAATTTGCTTTGCCATGTACTGCTAAATTATAAATACCAGGATAAAAAAAGATTTGCCCTCTTCAAATAGACTTTGACAAGAAGCTACAGAATAATTAGCAAGAAAATAGGTAATAAATTGTATCCTTAATTGAAAAATCCATTCCAGGGAAGCTGCAGCAACAAAGACATTATTCCCCAAAAGAAGACTTTTTGGTAAGCTATGAAGAAGATACTAAACAGGGGATGAGACCAGAAAACTAAATTTAGTGTTTGCTAGTAGAAATGAAAAGCATTCTTTTCCTAGTAAGGAAAGGGTTTTTACAGCAGTAAGTGCTCATATTTGAGAAGAGAGGATGGGGGGGGGGGAGAATATCCTAAAATAGGCTATGGATGGGCAAGAGCTGAGAACAAACCCAGGTAAAACCTAAAGCATTATCCAATGTAGTAGCCACCAGTCACGTGTAGCTATTTAAAGTTAAAATAAAACTGAAAAGTCATTTCCAAAATTGAACATGCACATGCAAAAAATGAATTTAGACACAGATCTCAAATCCTTCACAAAAATTAACTCAAAATAGATCACAGACCTAAATACAAAACACAACATTATAAAACTCCTAGAAGGTAACATAGGAGAAAATCTAGATGACCATGGGTTTGGCAATGACTTTTTAGATGTAACACCGAGGCACAATCCACACAAGAGAGAACTGATAAGCTGCACTTCATTAAAATTAAAAATTTCTACCTGGGAAAGAAAGAAACTTCCAAGAGAATAAAAAGATAAGCCACAGATTGGGAGAAGATATTTGCAAAACACATATCTGATAAAGGACTGTTATGCAAAATACACAAAGAACTCTTTTTTTTTTTGACCAGTAAGGGGATCACAACCCCCGGCACGGTGTGGTCTGCACCACGCTCAGCCAGTGAGTGCACCGGCCATCCCTATATAGGATCCAAACCTGCGGCCTCAGGGCTATCAGCACCACACTCTCCTGAGTGAGCCATGGGGCCGGCCCCACAAAGAACGCTTAAGGCTCAACAACAAAAAAACCAAACAACCTGATTAAAAAATAGGAAAAAGACCTAAATAGACATCTTACCAAAGAAGATATATAGATGGCAAATAAGCATACAAAATGATGTGCCACAACATATGTCACCAGGAAAATGCAAATTAAAAACATCGAGATACCACTACACACCTATGAGAATGGCCAAAATCCAAAATATGATACCACCAAATGCTGATGAGGATGTGGAGCATCAGGAACTCTCATTCGCTGCTGGTGGGAATTTGTATTAGTCCAATTCTGTTGCTTATAACTAAATACCTGGAACTGGGTAATTTGTAAGAAAATGAAACGTATTGCTTATAGTTTCGGAGACTGGGAAATCCAAAGTCCAGGCAACACATCTGGTGAGGGTCTTCTTTGGCAGCGGCTTTACAGCAATGCTGGGGTCTCACTTGGCAGGAAATGGCAGAACAGAGAGACAGAGCTCCTCCTATTCTCTCCTTTCAAACCCCTTCAAACCACACCCACAACCACTATTAAACCATCAACTTAATCACCTCTTCAAGGCCCCACCCTTCAATTATCACAGTAGGATTTGCCATCCTCTCAACATTGTCACAGTGGGAGACAAGTTTCCAATACCTGGGACTTTAGGGAACACAATTTAAGCTTCAATGAGTTTGTGGGGGGGACATTCAATCCACAACAGAATGCGAAATGATAAAGCCACTTTGGTAGACGGTTTGGCAGTTTCTTGCAAAACTAAACATACTCTTACCATATGATCCAGCAATCACACACACTCCTTGGTATTTACCCAAAAAGAGTTAAAAAAAAAAAACTTATGCCCACACAAAAACTGCACATAAATGTTTACAGCAGCTTTATTTATAATTGCCAAAATTGAATGCAACTAAGATGTCCTTCATAGATGAATGGATAAATAAACTGATACATCTGGATGACGAAATACTATTCACTAAAAAGAAATGAGATATCAAGCCATGAAAAGACATGGAGGAACTTTAAATGCATACTATGAAAGAAGCCAATCTGAAAAGGTTCCAACTACATGACATTTTAGAAAAGGCCAAAATACATACACAGTAAAAAGATCTGTAGTTGGCAGGGATTGGGAAGGAGGGAGGAATAAACAGATGGGAGCCCATAAGATTTTTAGGGCAATGAAACTATTCTGTATGATACTATAATGATAAATACAAGTCATTATACATCATGTATTTGCATGAAGTCATAGAATATACACCACCAAGAGTAAATTCTAGAGTAAACTATGGACTTTGGACGATAATGATGTGCAAATATAGGTTCATCAGTGGTAACAAATGAACCACTCCGGTAGGTGATGTTGACAGTGGGGGAAGTCACACATACAAGGGGGCAGTGAGTATATGGGAAATCTGTGAACCTTCCACTCAATTTTGGTGTGAACCTAAAACTGCTCTAAAAAATAAAGTATTTTTAAAAAGAAATTCACAGTAGCCGTATTTCAAGTGTTCAATAGGCCCATGTAGTTAGTGACTACTGTGTCGTACTGGACAGTATAGATACAAATATTTCCATCACAGCAGGAAACTCTTTGGACAGAACTGACCTAGAGGGTAAGGGAAAGAGACTGACCTGGGGTTTGGAAAAAGAGGAGCTACTAACAAGGGCATTTGTCCTACAGCATTTGGTACTTAATTGAAGGATCAGGTGGATTTACCTTTCCGTTTCCACCTGCTCTTTTTTCCCTCCTTGTTGCTGCCACCATCACTGCTGCTGCTGCTGTTCTCAGAACTCTGGGAATCTGACTGACCATCACTGCTTTCTTCTGAACCTTCTGATAGCTCTTTCACCCCATCCGGCACATCTTTCTGAAAATGCAGGCATCCAATTAGGGTTAATTATTACCATTTCAGCAAATAGGAATTAAATTTCTGATACGCAATGTTGCAATCTAATTGCACTGATTAATTTTTAGTATTATTGCTGGTGGGAATTTGTATTAGTCCAATTCTGTTGCTTATAACTAAATACCTGGAACTGGGTAATTTGTAAGAAAATGAAACGTATTGCTTATAGTTTCGGAGACTGGGAAATCCAAAGTCCAGGCAACACATCTGGTGAGGGTCTTCTTTGGCAGCGGCTTTACAGCAATGCTGGGGTCTCACTTGGCAGGAAATGGCAGAACAGAGAGACAGAGCTCCTCCTATTCTCTCCTTTCAAACCCCTTCAAACCACACCCACAACCACTATTAAACCATCAACTTAATCACCTCTTCAAGGCCCCACCCTTCAATTATCACAGTAGGATTTGCCATCCTCTCAACATTGTCACAGTGGGAGACAAGTTTCCAATACCTGGGACTTTAGGGAACACAATTTAAGCTTCAATGAGTTTGTGGGGGGGACATTCAATCCACAACAGAATGCGAAATGATAAAGCCACTTTGGTAGACGGTTTGGCAGTTTCTTGCAAAACTAAACATACTCTTACCATATGATCCAGCAATCACACACACTCCTTGGTATTTACCCAAAAAGAGTTAAAAAAAAAAAACTTATGCCCACACAAAAACTGCACATAAATGTTTACAGCAGCTTTATTTATAATTGCCAAAATTGAATGCAACTAAGATGTCCTTCATAGATGAATGGATAAATAAACTGATACATCTGGATGACGAAATACTATTCACTAAAAAGAAATGAGATATCAAGCCATGAAAAGACATGGAGGAACTTTAAATGCATACTATGAAAGAAGCCAATCTGAAAAGGTTCCAACTACATGACATTTTAGAAAAGGCCAAAATACATACACAGTAAAAAGATCTGTAGTTGGCAGGGATTGGGAAGGAGGGAGGAATAAACAGATGGGAGCCCATAAGATTTTTAGGGCAATGAAACTATTCTGTATGATACTATAATGATAAATACAAGTCATTATACATCATGTATTTGCATGAAGTCATAGAATATACACCACCAAGAGTAAATTCTAGAGTAAACTATGGACTTTGGACGATAATGATGTGCAAATATAGGTTCATCAGTGGTAACAAATGAACCACTCCGGTAGGTGATGTTGACAGTGGGGGAAGTCACACATACAAGGGGGCAGTGAGTATATGGGAAATCTGTGAACCTTCCACTCAATTTTGGTGTGAACCTAAAACTGCTCTAAAAAATAAAGTATTTTTAAAAAGAAATTCACAGTAGCCGTATTTCAAGTGTTCAATAGGCCCATGTAGTTAGTGACTACTGTGTCGTACTGGACAGTATAGATACAAATATTTCCATCACAGCAGGAAACTCTTTGGACAGAACTGACCTAGAGGGTAAGGGAAAGAGACTGACCTGGGGTTTGGAAAAAGAGGAGCTACTAACAAGGGCATTTGTCCTACAGCATTTGGTACTTAATTGAAGGATCAGGTGGATTTACCTTTCCGTTTCCACCTGCTCTTTTTTCCCTCCTTGTTGCTGCCACCATCACTGCTGCTGCTGCTGTTCTCAGAACTCTGGGAATCTGACTGACCATCACTGCTTTCTTCTGAACCTTCTGATAGCTCTTTCACCCCATCCGGCACATCTTTCTGAAAATGCAGGCATCCAATTAGGGTTAATTATTACCATTTCAGCAAATAGGAATTAAATTTCTGATACGCAATGTTGCAATCTAATTGCACTGATTAATTTTTAGTATTATTGCTGGTGGGAATTTGTATTAGTCCAATTCTGTTGCTTATAACTAAATACCTGGAACTGGGTAATTTGTAAGAAAATGAAACGTATTGCTTATAGTTTCGGAGACTGGGAAATCCAAAGTCCAGGCAACACATCTGGTGAGGGTCTTCTTTGGCAGCGGCTTTACAGCAATGCTGGGGTCTCACTTGGCAGGAAATGGCAGAACAGAGAGACAGAGCTCCTCCTATTCTCTCCTTTCAAACCCCTTCAAACCACACCCACAACCACTATTAAACCATCAACTTAATCACCTCTTCAAGGCCCCACCCTTCAATTATCACAGTAGGATTTGCCATCCTCTCAACATTGTCACAGTGGGAGACAAGTTTCCAATACCTGGGACTTTAGGGAACACAATTTAAGCTTCAATGAGTTTGTGGGGGGGACATTTAATTAAGCTTTTCACAAGAACAGAATTCTGTCTCTATAACTCAGATATTATTTACATGTGGTGACTTTTTTTTTTCTTTTTAAATGACTCCCCAACAAAAATATTTACCTTCAAAGTATATACTCCCATTCTACCTGGAACCTTATAGAAGATGCCTTCTTCACCTCGGGAGTTTGTATGCAGCATTGCATTGAGGCATGCAAGAGGGGAAGTCCCACTGCAAAACAAAAAAGATTAAGAACACAATGATTAGTTTCTGTTTCTGAACATCCTATGTAACGACAACTTTAGATAAAATTAATTGGTCACTACTCCTCTGACAAACATATCTTATAAACTATAAAAAGTCAAGCATCCAGAAAGAGATTTCCATGGAGGAAATAGATGTAAAAAATCATTCCCATATATCTAAAAAAAAAAAGTAATTCCTTAATCCTGATCCAGTATCTAACATTTAAGTCAAGAAAAATACAGAAGTAGCACAAACATATTTTGTAAGCATTCTGCTTTATTTAGCACAAGTGGAAAACACACACACACACGCACACACTCTCTCTCTCTCTCTCTAACAATATTAACCCTGTTGCACATTACACCATACCAGACTGAGCCTGAGTTGTGAAACTACCACATTGCCATGGTTTCTTACATTTAAACTTATTATGTGATCATTTAAAAAGGTATTAAGTAGGCTTCTGAATATTTATCTTGTATGTAGCACCTTGGAAATTAAATGTTTATTAATTCTAATACACATTTTCTGGAATTTTAGGTATATAATAAATTATATGTAAAAAAAAAAATTTCCTTTCCAATTATGATCAGATTTCATTTTCCTGTCTTTTTGTACTTATCTAACAAAAGAAATAGCAATAAAAATTATTAACAGACATTGCTGGTTTGTCCCTTTATTACTGGAATGGCACTAATGTTTCACCAGAGCCTAAAGCTGTTTTTTTTAAAATAAGAGTTGTTTTTTGTTTAAAATAATAACTCACATATCAAGAAACAGGAAAGAGAACTGTAAATTAGATGCATGCTTTTTAACATACACCAAATGGAATCACATGTATCAAAGAGTTCAGTATAAAATAATAAATTGCAGACTAGCTTAAAATTGAATGAAGTAATATTTATCTCAGATGGATGATTAAGCATTAGTTTTACTCAAAAGGAATTATAAAATGATAAAGAATAGTATTGAATTATAGAAAACAAAAGTAGTAGGAAAAATATCATTAAAAATCAGGTATTAGCATATGGTTAAGAGCTATAATATCTAAAGATAGTGCTTTAATACTTAAAAACAATGTTCATATATTAAGAAAAATACCAAAAACATCATTAGAGAAAATATTAGAATATTTCAAATAAGAACAAATATAAATAGCAAGCAAACAAATGGAAAATTCGTATGGAAGCAATGAGTTAGTGGTCTAGAGTCTCTGACTGGAGATATGTGGCCCCTCATATGTCTTTTTTTTTCCCTGAAAAAATCTGAGGGATAAGGCAGCTTAATTGTACATTTCCAACTCTTTTCCCTCTCAGTTCTCTGATAGTTCTACTCAATGATCAAAAATAAGCCTACTAGAAGAGGCTGCTAACTATCTTGGGTATACCTAAGATTTCTGAATTTTCTGTTAGGGAGAGCAGGGACATACGTCCACTGTCTTTTGGTACTGTGGAAGTGGTGAGTATCAAACACCGGAGTGAAGACTTGCATCTCCTGCCCCCGCCCAACACAGAGAACAACAACAAAGAAAATAAAGAAAAGCCTTTTGCTGAATAAAGTGTCGAGCATCTCCAGGCTGATTTTTATAATTGTGTTTATCTAATTTGAACATTTCCAAGTTAAAAATACACATAATGCAATTCCAACCAGGATCCCAGAGTTTATATCAAATAAGTACACAAAAATTACCAAGACATTTCTGGGAAGAAAATGACAGGAGACTTCCCTAAGAAGATATTAAAATGTACTTCTAAGTCACTATTATTGAAGCAGTATGTTTCTGCAACAGGATAAATGGGCAAATGAGCACTCATAGACTGTTGATAGAAGAAAACAGAAAATGCAGAAACAGATCATAATAAACTTAAAAGGTACTGTCCGGAGCCATAGAGCCCGGCTGCCTGCCTGTCCGGAGCCAAAGAGCCCGCCCAGCTATTGCCTCGAGGCCTCAGAGCCTTATTTGCTGTTATCTTCTGTCCCTCCCCCTCCTGTGCACTATGGGTGTAGGTAACTTTGCAACTTGCCATAGATAACGGGAATTTTCCATTTACCGGAACAAAAGAGTTGTTTTTTGTTTAAAATAATAACTCACATATCAAGAAACAGGAAAGAGAACTGTAAATTAGATGCATGCTTTTTAACATACACCAAATGGAATCACATGTATCAAAGAGTTCAGTATAAAATAATAAATTGCAGACTAGCTTAAAATTGAATGAAGTAATATTTATCTCAGATGGATGATTAAGCATTAGTTTTACTCAAAAGGAATTATAAAATGATAAAGAATAGTATTGAATTATAGAAAACAAAAGTAGTAGGAAAAATATCATTAAAAATCAGGTATTAGCATATGGTTAAGAGCTATAATATCTAAAGATAGTGCTTTAATACTTAAAAACAATGTTCATATATTAAGAAAAATACCAAAAACATCATTAGAGAAAATATTAGAATATTTCAAATAAGAACAAATATAAATAGCAAGCAAACAAATGGAAAATTCGTATGGAAGCAATGAGTTAGTGGTCTAGAGTCTCTGACTGGAGATATGTGGCCCCTCATATGTCTTTTTTTTTCCCTGAAAAAATCTGAGGGATAAGGCAGCTTAATTGTACATTTCCAACTCTTTTCCCTCTCAGTTCTCTGATAGTTCTACTCAATGATCAAAAATAAGCCTACTAGAAGAGGCTGCTAACTATCTTGGGTATACCTAAGATTTCTGAATTTTCTGTTAGGGAGAGCAGGGACATACGTCCACTGTCTTTTGGTACTGTGGAAGTGGTGAGTATCAAACACCGGAGTGAAGACTTGCATCTCCTGCCCCCGCCCAACACAGAGAACAACAACAAAGAAAATAAAGAAAAGCCTTTTGCTGAATAAAGTGTCGAGCATCTCCAGGCTGATTTTTATAATTGTGTTTATCTAATTTGAACATTTCCAAGTTAAAAATACACATAATGCAATTCCAACCAGGATCCCAGAGTTTATATCAAATAAGTACACAAAAATTACCAAGACATTTCTGGGAAGAAAATGACAGGAGACTTCCCTAAGAAGATATTAAAATGTACTTCTAAGTCACTATTATTGAAGCAGTATGTTTCTGCAACAGGATAAATGGGCAAATGAGCACTCATAGACTGTTGATAGAAGAAAACAGAAAATGCAGAAACAGATCATAATAAACTTAAAAGGTACTGTCCGGAGCCATAGAGCCCGGCTGCCTGCCTGTCCGGAGCCAAAGAGCCCGCCCAGCTATTGCCTCGAGGCCTCAGAGCCTTATTTGCTGTTATCTTCTGTCCCTCCCCCTCCTGTGCACTATGGGTGTAGGTAACTTTGCAACTTGCCATAGATAACGGGAATTTTCCATTTACCGGAACAACCTGCTGTACGGCCAA